CGGCTGGCATGGGGGCTCCGGCCTGGCGTTGGGCGCTGCGCGCCGCCCGCAGGAGCGGGAGGGCTCCAACGGCGCCGCGGCGCGGCCCGGGCTGCGGGCCCGCCGTTTGCGCCGCTCCGTTTGCCGACTCCGCGGTGAGTAAAGCGTGAGCTCTCCGCCGTGCGCCGGGTCCTCTCCGGGGCGGGGAGCGGAGCGGGACCGCCGTGCCCGCCGGCCGCGGAGGGTCGGACCCGGGGGAGCTGCCGGGGGTGGGAAGCAGGAGAGCCGCCGCGGCCTAGACCTGTGGGGGTGGCGGTTGCTCTGCGGTGTGAGGATGCGGTCGCCGCAGGGCGTTAGCGGCGCGGGCGGTCTGGGGCAGCGGCCGGACCGAGCAGAGGAGGGTGAGTCTGTGCCGGCTTTTTTGCCGGGACCTCGGTCAGCTCTGTGGAAGTAGCGAGCGGTCGCTCGCCGCCTGTGGTGGTGCAATTGGGCCACCAGGTAGTAAGTGGGACGCTGCCAGTAGAGGTGCAGGCTCTTGTCTGGCAGTCCCTCCGTCCTGCTGCGGGGGGCCCGCAGGGCGCAGAAAAGCCGTCCTGTGCCTCTTGTTCGGCAGTAACAGCAAAGCGGGGCTCGCTGCAGCGGCCCGGCACTTGCACCGCTGCCTCTGACAGGGCTCGGGGGCGGGCAGCCCGCTGGAAAGCGGCCGGTGCCTCCCCGGCGCCTCGGCACCCAGGGTTCCTCTTCCTTTGCTGTTAGCTGTACTTGGTGTGCTTGAAGCAACTGTAACGTAAAAGACCGCTAGGTCTAGCCTGTTTTTTAGAGCTTTTAACTTTTAAAGTGGTGTTTTGGTTTATTTTAACACAAGCCCTCATTCTTTTTTTCTTTTAAGTGTTAAGATCGATTGTATTTAATTGTCTGTCTAAACAAAATGCCCACGGGGGTTATTTTTAAGTAGGCCCCGTTCCTGCCAGCCTGGGAGGCAGGCTCCCTTTGGGAGAACCTGCGTGCAAAACGGTTTTTTGGACCAGTAGTGAAAATGCCTCGGCGCACAGGTGGGTTCTTCCCTGTCAGCTTGCGCTGCGAAAGCTGCAGGTTGGTGCATACGCGTTCCCTTGTTTTCTGTTTTTGTTAGTCCTCAAGCTCCAGGGATGAGGCTCTAATGGACAAACGCGCCCGGATCCTGTCACGCGGGCTGCCGAAACAGAAGCCCATAGAAGGAGTAAAGCAGGTGGTGGTCTTGGCTTCTGGAAAAGGGGGAGTTGGAAAATCAACAACAGCAGGTAAGATTTTTTTTTTTAATTGTTTACTTTGCACATTTTGTAATACTTTGTAAGGAATATTTGGGCCCTTGTTGTGTCATTACCTTGTAATTGAGTCCCACTAACACAGCCCTTCACCTCTGTCAAGTCCCATTGCAGCCATTGAGAATCTACATGGGTACAGAGGTCTCGGCTTTAAATGAGGTGCAAATTGAGCAGACAGCTTTGAAATAACATCTTCGTAATAGTGCAGTGCTGTCCTGGGACAGTCTGCTTTCTTAAGAGGCAGTGTAAGCTGAGGTGGAGGGGATCATGTGCCGGTGCAGTGATGCTGTTCCCCTTTCCCTAGCAGCGTAGGTGTGTCTGTACGGTGCTCCTCTCTGCTGTGTCGGCATAGTCATGTGCTCTGTAGGGGATGCAAATATTTAGAAGGTTTCAAAATCAGGTCTCTGTAATTTTCTCAAATACTTGTGTAGGCATTTAATAAACAAAAGATGAAACTGTAGTTATAAACCACACAAATTGATCAGAGCCTTGTGAAGCACCTTGAACTCTTCTCTCAGCCCCACTGTTACGTTTGAATTAATTTTTCTCTAACTCTGCAGTTCTTAGGTGATAGAACAAGGTAGTTGTCGTGGTTTAACCCCAGCCAGCAACTAAGCACCACACAGCCGCTCGCTCACTCCCCCGCGGTGGGATGGGGGAGAGAATCGGAAAAGTAAAAGTGAGTAAACTCATGGGTTGAGATAAAGACAGTTTAATGGGTAAAGCAAAAGCTGTGTGCACAAGCAAAGCAAACCAAGGAATTCATTCACTACTTCCCATCGGCAGGCAGGTGTTCAGCCATCCTCAGGAAAGCAGGGCTCCATCACGCGTAACGGTTTCTTGGGAAGGCAAACGCCATCACTCCAAACGTCCCCTCCCCTTCCTTCTTCTTCCCCCAGCTTATATACTGAGCATGATGTCATATGGTGTGGAATAGCCCTTCGGCCAGTCTGGGTCAGCTGTCCTAGCTATGCTCCCTCCCAGCTTCTTATGCACCTGGCAGAGCACAAGAAGCTGAAAAGTCCTTGACTAGTGTAAACTCTGCTCAGCAAGAACCAAAACATCAGTGCGTTATCAACATTATTCTCATCCTAAATCCAAAACACAGCGCTCTACCAGTTACTAAGAAGAAAACTAACTCTATCCCAGCTGAAACCAGGACAGTAGTACATGGGTTACCAGTACTGCAGAAATTTGCTTGAACTTAAACAAAAATGACACTGAACGTAAACCTCTTTACAAAGATCTCTGTAAAGTGTTAGAAATTTGTTTAAAAATCTTTTCCTTACCATCTAGATTAGGAAAAGAGTCATCCTTTAGTTGAATGTTGTCTGCTGTTCATCTCCATTTACCATGAATAACACATTGATGTAGCTCTTAAATTCTTATTTTGTGTTTTGTATTTCAGCCATGATTGAAAAAGACTGCTTGTCTAATAAATAATAGAGCAGACAAATGTGATATCCATAGTAAGAACAACTGTACTTAAAAGTATTTTTTTCTGTATATGGGATACACATATATACTATCCTATACATAGGATACACATTCCTGTACAAAGACATGCAAAACAAGAAACACTTGCATTTCTTAATGATGTACCTTTTGGTTGATGGTTATAATTCATAGGCTGGTTGTTTCAGGTTACTGAAAAATACCAAATATCTGTTTGTAAATCAACAGATTTACAGACTGAACATAATTTGAACAGTAAATTCAGAGTATCCTCCTCATGTCTGCAAACAAATGTGCTGATTTAAGTTCCGCTGACTGGCGTCTGTATGTAATTTGTACATATCTGTATGTAATTTGTACATAAAGTATGATACATGTATAAATAATACTTAAAGAGCTGGGAGTTCATACCCATGCATTTAAAAATAAAAAGATCAGGGCTCAACAAGCATTAAATAAGAGAGTTGAAATGTAAATGAACCATTCAGATGTTGCTGTATTGGACAGCCTTTTGTTAATGAATGTATTCATTTATAATATTGAGAAGAAAAAGGAATCTAGATTCTTGTTGATTAAAATGAGAATACATTTCATGGTTCAGATGAACAACTGAAGATCAGATAACTCATACAAACAAAAGTATTGCATGGCATCATTGCTGAATTATGTACTTAAAATTATGTTATTCATAATGGAGGTTTGTGGGGAACATGTTTGGTGACAACTCCGCTGACTCATTTTCAGAGCAGGAGTTGAAAAGGAAGGAGGGTGGTACACACCTCTAATCCCTAAAGCACCACAGAAAATATCATCAGTCTTTTACTGCCTGCATCTCTCTGAAGGACTGTCAAGGCTCTTCATATTCTTTCCCCCAGTGTGTTTACGTTTCAATTGCTCTGAATCTCCATTTCAGGACAGGTGGATATGCATTCTGGTAAAGTTTGTCAGGGCCGTTCCTTAACCTGTCTTTGTATTTCTGTTGAATTACTCTGTTTGTTGCGTATAGCTTTCATATGGTATTCTCTGTTGCTTCTAGCACTTTTTGGTCTTCTGAAATCAATGTAGTCAATTATTAGAAGAAGAAATTGTTATAGAAAAAATATTTTTCAATGCATGTTTAAATCCTTTGGTTGGTTTTTGTTGTTATTGTCTTTGCTTAGTGTAAGTGTTGGTTTGCTTGTTTCCTATGTTTCCTATCTCTTTCCTGTCAAGTTTCTGTCTTTTACCAGCATTCTGCTGTATTTACTCCATTTGGCCAAAGGTGCTTTTTTTGTTGTTGCTGTTGTTTGGTTTTGTTTTTTTTTTTTTTTGTCTCTTCTGTTACCTCTTTTGCATTACCTGAAGATGAGAGTACTGTAGAAAATTGATCCTTGTGTGAGAATAGTTCAAAGTGTGGTCTTGAAAGAAGAGGAGTTTCTAATTTATTGAAACTCTTATTGTTTTCAGCTGTGGAAGTGGAATAAAATTAATGACTGGTGTTCTTGCTCACATTTTGTTAATTCTTCAGTTTGAGGAAAATAAAACTACTGATACTACCAACTACCTTGGCTTTCAGACATTTTTAGCAAAGACTAATAGGCTGAGTTTTTTCATTATTGTTCAGGAGGGCAGATAAAGTCAACACATGGTCAAATGTATCTGAGTCATATTAACTGTGTTTTAATTTTTTTTTCCTCTTGCATGCTTTTATTCTGCATGTAGAATGTACTATTATTGAAACTCACCCTTTCAAGGTGGGGGCCAAAATCCATCTATTCACCTGACCAATGCAGACACAGGCCTGGGCTTTGGCAAAGGTGATAATAGTATTTGTTCACGGTTCTTTTCCAGGATCAATGTCATGTTTTTTGATTCTGGGCCTTCTCTACATGTTAAAATATTCTAATAGTCATAAACTGGTTATTCTATTTCTAAATGCCACTTACATTGAGATATAAGTATTGAAAATTATCTTTCAGGGAGAGTTCATCTTAGTTATCTAGAGGTATTTTATTGATGATGTAGATTAACCATTTCACAGATGTAGATACACTCAGCTGGCTCTGTACATGTCTGATTTTGGGCCAGGAAGTTTGATTTGTGTTTTTAGCTCAATGTTCTGAGAATTCAACTGTGCTATTCCTAGACAGTTTAGATTTGGAAGTTACAAACTCCAGACTAATAAACCTTCTCAGACTTGTACTGAATTCAAGAAGACTAACTCTGATCTCCCTGTGCATCAGTCGATACTGGTCGGCTGGTTTAGCATGGGCGGAGATACCATAGTGGCTTTTCTTGGAGCCTGCTGTGAAGTTTTAAAAAATAATTAAAAAAAAAAATTGTATTGAATTTCTGGAATGTATCTGCCCTGCTCTCCTGCGCTCTTGGTTATGGGAACTTACTAGTTAGGGCCAACATGAATGTTTAGGGTCAGGTTAGGTCCTATGCTGCATCTCTATTCCCTCTTGGAACTGACGGTAATACAAAGACAACAGAATGCAAGAATCAGCTGGGATTCAACAGAGAACATGAGGTGTCCAGCTAGATATCCAGCTAAAAACCTCAGGTTTTCCTACTATATTATTCCCACTGTATCCCTTTTTTCCCCTTCAATAGTCAAATATCCTTTATTGAAGAAGCATTGTGGATCATACTTTAATTTTCACACAGGATAATTATATAGGAAGAAGATAGATGTATAAAGTGGTTTTGAGACAGTACAGTGGGGAGTAACTTGCTGCTTCCTTTGTGCCTCTTCAGACATGAGCTGCAGTTGATTTTATTTTTTTTTCTTTTTTATTTATCATTGGTTTGCTTGTTTTTTCCCCTTATCTGTGATTTGTAGATTGGTTTCCAAGTTTCAGACGATAAATTTTCCTCTGATTGATTCAGGGAACAGTTAATCAAGCATCTGTTTAAACAGCAAACTGAAGAATAAAATCTATATGCTTTATCAGCTTAGGAGTAAACAGAGGCTGTGTGCTTCTTAGGGAGAGCTGTACCATTTTCCTAGTTAACCTCCTCACTGTTTTCTTTAAAGGAACTTATCTTTCTTAATACCAAATTCTTTAAGCTGGGAATCTGGCTCCCCAGCTTGTTCTCATACCTTCATATTCTTCCAGTAGAAAAGGTTGACCACAGCTTGTCTTTCTTAAAAGGCTTTATGGACTGTCAAACAACAATGTGCAAAGAAAGAAAAAAGATGTTAACCAAGAAAGAGTTCTCTGTGTGTGTTGGGGTTTTTTTGTGGGATTTTTGTTGGTTTTTTTGGTTTTGTTTTTTTTTTTTTCCCTTTTAAAACATGTTACTTCTTGGATCATAACAATTACTATTTGGTTATACTGAAGCTTCTAGGAGATCTTCCAACATAATTGAAGCTGGTGAGCCATTAAAAGATACCATTTCTTGCATGTGCTTTTTAGTTATGGGAGTTAAGTATTGATGGAAGTGTGAACGCTGTAAACAAAGTCACAGTCTTTTTAATTGCTTCATCCTGGTTTTCTGTTTCTTTAGTTGTTACAGATGCTTTCAGGGTAGATGAGACTTTGTTTTCTGACATAAAAATCAAGTGAAAAGCATGCATTACTGTTTCTTCCAGCAAATATCAATGTTTAATATATCACAAGAAATCAAAAAAAGGGGTATGATCATTTTTCTGGTCACTGTACTTAAATGGTTTAGGTCAATACTTAATCTCTAGTTTTCAGAAAGTTCACTAGAGACTGTGGTGAAAGTTACCTATGGTAGGGTTATTTTAGTTTTATAGTACAGTGTCCACTTTTCAAAAGTTAAGTGGGTACCTGAAATTTTTTTTCTTAACATTTTCCTTTGGCAAAAAAGTGAGATTGTATTTTTGTTTTGCAGTGTCCTCTAGAAACTTAAGAGTTTGCAAGTTTTTGCAGATTAGCTTGAGTTTGTTAGGCTGTTAGCAAACATGGACTGAAACGTGGGTGCTGCTGCCAGTTAAACTAATAATGTTGTAGGGGTGCAAGAAGCTAAGAATCAAGATGATGAATGCAATTATTAAGTATGATGTATTTCTATTATATTGTCTCTTGTTATAAATAACAACATTCTCAATATTTAGGAATTAAGTTTTCTTGCACTTAATCTTTTTCTTTTTTTTTTTTCCTTCCTCTTTCTTGCAGTAAATATAGCCCTCGCCCTAGCAGCAAATGATTCGGTAGGTGAACATCTAATTATCAGCCTTAATGTGAAAGAAGTGTGTGAGTCATAAATAAAATGGTTACTGCTGGGGGCAGTCACATACATTAAATCTAAGTATTTACTCTGACAGTTAATTTCTTTATTTGTTTTTCATGGACTTCTGAGTTTATATTAATTTGTTTATATTTTGTCAGTACCATGAATGACTTATTAGCTCTCGCGCTTCATCTGGGTTTGGCAGTGTCCTTTCCCTTGTGTATCTATGGGTTCAACTGCAATTCTGCAAGGATGTGTAGACATAGTAGAGGATGTTTGTGCAGTTTGGAGACACGTAATAAATAATTAAATTCTATCACTTCAGAGCACTGACTTGGAAAAAATATGAGTACGAGCTGGATGGTGTCCAAAATGTTTTTTTATAGCTCTAAAGATTTACTTTTTCTGGAGAAATCAATGTGTAAAAATACTTTATATATAAACAGCTGAGGAAAAAAAGGAGCTATGTATCTTCCCTAAAGCTTGGAAATACATTTTTTGAGTGACAAAATATCATTGCCCAGTTTGGTATTGCTCAAACTATTACTTGGACTATAAATAGACAGTGGGAACCATTCAAGTGTGAAAACAGCAGATCTTCCTTATGTCCACCTGCTGCTATAAACTGGGAGTACTTCCATTGTGCACATTTATTGCTACAGAGGTAAACTCAGAAGCAAGCTTCACTTCCTGTGTAAGGGCGTATAATGCAGGCTTTGTACTCATAAAGCATTAATTAAAACCAAAGTATCCTCAAGTACTTCAATCTGGTAAAGGTAGCATCTTTTTCTTGTTGTAAAAGATGAGTAAAAGGAAACAACAGATAGAAGGAGTGAGGTTCACATGCAATCTACACGCTTCCTGGAGGAATTTTGTAAAAGATTAAAAAAATTTCCATAAACTCAGTCATACTTGATAAGAAGAGGGTGTTTAAAGCTGTTATATGAAATATGTACTGTTTGTAATGGCATCTGATCTTGATATTTCACAGTTGTTAATTCTGTGTTTTAAATAGGCTGCTGGAGTAATTCGATTTCAGAGAAAAATCTGTCATCTTGAAAAGAAAACTGCTTGAATGGTTCTTTCTAATTAACTTTAAAACATGGCATTTGATGTAATACTTCTACAAAACGAATGTGATCCTGCAATGTGATCTGTGTAGTGTCGTGGTCATTGAGTAGCTCCATGGAAACCACGTCAACTAATTGCACATAACTTTCTGTACCAGCTTAAGTGTTTTTAGGATTGTGCTTGATACTTTTCAAACATGCAGTTTTGTGCATTGTTTAAATTTATATTTAGATAAAGAATCTCTTAGTAATTCTGACATACGCAAGTTGTGGGATTATACCCTTTCGTTAGGAGTTAAACATCTGGCTTTAAACCTAATGATGTGATGCGCCACTTCAGTAGCCCATTAAAACACTTGTAAAGCGCACAAATAAGAGAGACCATAGTCTAGAATGATTGAAGATGATGTTGCTGGAGTTATTTGGAAAATCAGGGACTGAGAAATAATTTTAAATGAAATTGAGCCAAGAAAGTTAAGTAAACATAGAATGCGCTAGTCATTCACGATGTTACGATTATGTGGTGGTGTAAAATTGGAGGCCAGCATCCTGGTGGATGTTAATCAATGAAGAGCAGCTGAAATGGATGAAATAGCTGTGATTTGCATGAACTGATGGTCACAATTTAACAAGCTGCTGCCATGGTGAAATTGTGCATTGATGTAGTTACAGGTTAGAAAATATGAAATTAAGGTGGATTGAAGAAACTCAACTCTATCTTGTTTGTTCATGCTTTAATTTTTTTTTTTTTTAAGAAAATGATGACATGCATCATGTTTATGTTTAAACTTTGGGCTTGAATTTGCTTGTGTGTTCATTTGTGTACTCCCATTGATTTCAGTTTACTAGGTTTGCGAGTCTGGTTATGAAATGAATATCTCTGGGGCCTTGATCCAGGCTGGGATTGTCCAGTGCTATGAATTGTAGGGATCATTGCAATGTTCAATTTTGTTACGGTGAAATAAATAAGGAGGTTGTTTTCCAGAGTCCATTGGTGCTCTGAAGTTCACAATGCATTTCTTTGACCTCAGATATGCAGCAATGGACCTCTTCATTTTACATTTAGTAACTACTGATTGTGCATTGCCTTCCCATGGTTTCCTTTGCCTTCATTGCTATCGTAAGTTCATCTCTTTCTGAGGAAGCAGTAATGACTCTGTTAGTAGATCAGAGCTTCAGCAGCCTCCTGCAACTTCATTACAGTCCTTATGTCTCTTATAAGCAAAATACAGATTTGTAGAAACTGGTGCTTGAACTTGATGCACTGTTTAAAGGAAGAAAGAAAGGACTTGTGGAGAAAGATAGGTCACCGTGACAATAAAGGTCTGTGCTTCCTCCATTGGATACAGGCTGTTTCTGTTACAAGTTCCATGTTTATAACTAGATTTTCAAAGCAAGTAGTATATTGGGGCTAAATGACTTTAAAAATAATGTTGTCTTCTGATCTTTCAAGAGTTCTTTTTCTAAGATTTCTACAGGTCACAGACTACTGAGACCAACTGTTTTCTGGTGAGGGAGATCTGTGGAAGATGCTTTCAGAGGAGATTGGATTAGAGTAGATTCTTGCTGCTTTCAGTAACAGCTGTGACATCTTACTGTTGTTCGATAGTGTCATAAGCTGGAAGAAGATTAACAGCCAAAGCATAAAGGAATTTTTTGTCCTTTTGATAAAAGAAAGCTTCCTTCCATCTTCTCTTAAAAGTCTGCTTTTTATAGTTAAAAAACAAAACCCCACTGTTTCTATAGCTAGATGCTACTTTTTTTTTTTTTAATATGGAAGCTTTTTCAGTTATAGTGATGGTCTGAAGTATTAAGGCATCGACAGAGCCTTGGACATTGTTATGGGCGCACAGTGGTGTTGGCAGAGCTGGGATTAGAATTCAGGAGTTCAAGCCTTGCACGCTGGTGCTCAGTCTGTTTGGCATATTTTTACCTCATGGTTACAGAGTAAATAATTCAAGACGGGATTTCATTTAGATGCCTAGATACCACGTCCAAGACAAAGTAGGTTTTTTTGGGAGTTTTGTTTTGGGTTTTTTGATGCAAAGCCAGGGAAACAAGCAGGGCAGCCTCTTATCCCTCTCTGGAATATTAGGGTTTTGGTACCCTGGGTTACCTGCTGTAGATGGGATAGTTAAGAGTTTTATAGGCTCTTGTGCCTGTACCAAGACCTATAAATCTATACCGTGTTCTTTTTGTGTTAAGAAATAACTTAAAGTTTTACCCTTGTGTCCTATTTTTAATTGTTTGCTGAGTTTGACAGCTGATTCTTTTCGTTCTTTTGATGTACCAGCAGTCAGCTGTGCTCCCCTAGGAGCACTTGGGAAGAATTTTGGGGTTTCATGCCAGGACGATTCATATTCAGACTAGAATGACTATTTATGAAAGCTGCCTGGCCAGAGACGATTTATTATAGTAGAAACAAGTTGAATTAATAGATGGCAGCAATAATAGGATAGAGATTGCTTGTTTATGAACAGAGTATTTTAGTGAGCAAACACCAGCTGTGCCTGACTAAGGATGGCACAAATCCAGTTGGGAGGCTGCATGCTTGTGCTGTCACTATGAAGCAAGCTCCCCAGTCAGATTTCCTTTGACTCTCCTTTTCTTTCCAGGAAGATTTACATTTTTCACTATAGGATGAAGTGGTTTTTGTGTTGTGAAGGACAGAGGAGCAAGAAGTACAACCATATGGAACAAATAAGCATGTAAGCATAAGCAAGTGGCTTCTGCCCGCAGCAGCGGGGGCACGTGATTAAAGGCATCAGTTTTAACTATTCTAGCCTAACTCTGTGTCCGGGGATTACTGGGTCAAGCAGACCAGGACCAAAATTTGAAATACATCCAGGATGATTTTTATCTTAGGGAGTGGCCTTTGTTTTCCCAAGCAAACCCACTGGTTGCTGAGCAACGTAGTATTTTAAATATAAGGCCGTCAGTGTTTCTGTAGGGAGGGAGGCGGCCGGCCGGCAGAGGGAGCGCCGGGGGCCGAGCAGGGCGCTTCTCCCCCGCCGGGTTGCCTTTAACCGCGGGCAGGAAAAGGCCAAACGCATCGTCTTGTAATGTGAGTAAAGCTGGGGAAAGGTGGTGATTAGTTCAGTGAAAAACACGTATTCAGACAATATCACAGTCAAAATGTCACAACGCAGATTTTTTTTGTTTTGTTTTGTTTTAAAAGCAGAAAAGTTCTGTGGATATCTGCCTATTACACGCATACGTGAGTAAGAGGTTTCTCACAAATATATAGTAAGTTATAGCATAGAAATTATGTAGTTATGAGCAGAGTCTTCATGTGAATTCACTATTGTGATCATAAAATTAGTTTTAATTATTTCAAAATGTGTATTTAATCAAAAAACACACATTAATTTTTAATCAAAAACACACATTAATTTCAAAACTACTCAAAATCCACCCAGCCTATTTTCTTTACATTCCAGCTTTTTTTCAAATATTTGGCTCCTGTAATTGAACTATTTGTCTACAGGATATCTATTAATGCAGCAGTCAAATATTAACTTCACAATGTATATACATTTCTCTCTGGTAAGGAAAAAGTTCCATGTGGGGACAACAAACAAATCTAGAAGAATTTAGACAATAATGGGGTCCTTCACTTAATAATTACCGTGTGAAGGCAAGTTGTGACCTGTTTCATCACCCTCCTATGCAGCTTTCCTAATTATTAGGGTTTGATTTCTAGGCATCTTTACCTTTGCTGCTTAGAGAATCAGAAGCCTTTAACTGCTATAGATAAGGTGTTCATGCTTGTTTCTTAATGCTAAGACGTGTCAATAAAGCTGGAGATGCCAGTTAGAATTGATTGGGGTTATCTTGCAATGACAGCTTGGCTTCTAGATCAGCTAAGAAAATGACAGAATAAAGCAATCTTATTGTTTTTCAAGTAAAA